ATTGTTACTAACCAATTCAAAAAACTCTTAACTTCTGACTAATAATTGTTAACATTTATTCAATCTCCTCCATCTCCACTTGGTTGCTACCTTTCGCACGGTCTGTCGGTCTGTCTTCGACTTGTTTTGAATGTATTGTTTTTTGTCTCTTTCTGTCCTGTTTTGTCTTTTTGTCTCTTTTGTTAATCTCATTTTTTCCCCTCTTATTTCAGGCTGTCCCTCCACAGGATTGGTTTTTCTTATCTTCTGGGTTCTTGCCTTCTTCCTCTCCTGCATTTTCAATTTATTTTAAATCAATTGTAATATATTTGTCTGATTCAAAAAGGAAGTAAATAAATGTTAAATTGAATTGAATTGAATTGAAAATGAAAATAGATAACTCTGTATTCACTGTTAAACACTTCATGAATAAGTTTAAATTATTAGATAGTTGGAGAATTCATAATAAAAAGAAAATTCAATTTACATGGCGAAGAAAATTCTCAAACCTCTGTAAAAGGTTAGATTATTGGTTTGTGTCAGAGAGTTTACATGATGTAGGCAATATAATCTCATGTGGTATCAGACCCGCTGTTTTAACTGATCACCAAGGTGTCTCGATTAAAATAAACCTTATAGAAGAAAAACGTGGTCCAGGAGTTTGGAAATTAAACTCCGACTATCTGAATGACACATCCTTTATTAGTAAAATTAATGGGATTATTGACGACTGTGAACGAAAAATGAATTTTATTTAATTCAATTGATAAATGGTAATTAATCAAAACCAAGATAAAAGAATATGCAATTAGCTACGGTAAAACAAAAACGAAAAATAAAAATAGAAAAAAAGAAAATTTACAAAAATAAATTAAGCAACTAAACTATATCCTTATTGATAGACACGGTGATGAAAAGGTAGATTTCGAAATTAGCCAAAAATCGAAAGAACTCGAGAAAATATATGCGTATGAACACAAAGGTGCTCAAGTACGATCGAGAATTAAATGGATAGAGGAAGGGAAAACAAATTCAAAATATTTCCTGGGACTTGAAAAAAATGGCAGAAAAAAACAAATTAAAAAAATAAGGTCAGACGGAACATATGCTAAAAAAACCAAAGACATTTTGTCCGAAGAAGTAAAATACTTTGAGAAATTATATGCAAATCAAAACATCAATGTGATGGAAGTTCATGAATATTTAAATTTAAGAGAAGCCAATAAAGTAACGACTGATGAACAACAGTTTTGCGAAGGCAATTTATCCCTTACTGAATGCGAAAATGCAATACAAAAGATGAAATGTAACAAAGCACCAGGTACAGATTGCTTAACAGTGGAATTTTATCAATTATTCTGGCCAAAAATAGGTTCGTTAGTATGTAATGCCCTGAACTGCTGTTTAGAAATGGGTACACTGTCAAACTCTCAACGCCTAGGGATGATAAACCTAGTTTTTAAAAAAGGCGAGCATGCAGATCTGAATAATTGGAGGCCGATATCCCTCCTAAACGTAGATTATAAAATTGCCGCCTTCGTTTTAACAAAAAGACTACAAAAAAAATTTAAAAAATAGTTAGTAATGACCAAAAAGGTTACATTGAAGGTCGCTTTGGCGGCGAAAATGTCAGATTAATCGAAGATTTGATTGAATATATGGATACTAACAGTTTAACAGGAGCACTGATTAGCTTAGATTTCAGCAAAGCTTTTGACACTGTTAACAGAGATTTCTTGATTAGTACCTTGCATTATTTTAATTTTGGCCCATCTTTTATTAAATGGGTAAAGATTTTGTACTGCGAAACAGAATGCATTATTATGAACAATGGGCGGCGCTCAAATACTTTTAAAATGCACCGCGGAATTAGGCAAGGCTGTCCCTTATCTGCCCTCCTATTTATTATGGTAGCAGAAATAATGTCTATAAGAATACGGAGTGATAAAACAATTAAAGGCATCATTCTACTAAGTCTTGAAGGTACAGGCGTTAATGAAGTTAAAATTTCTCAACTTGCCGGTGACACGGTTTTGTTCATTAATGATGAAAATAGTATACAGAAGAGCCTTGATAAGATTATTAAATTTGGAAAAGTTTCTGAGTTAAAACTAAACAAAGAAAAAACAAACGCCATGTGGCTTGGACGCTGGAAAAATAGAAACGATTGTTTATTCAATATCAATTGGATCCCAAGTGCTTTTAAAATCCTCGGTATATATGTTTGCCACGACCAAGATATATGTTACGAAAAGAATTGGCATGATAAAATTGAATCGTTACAATTGGTAATAAATTCATGGAGAAAGAGAAATTTGACTTTATTTGGAAAAATCTTAATTTTAAAAACACTTGGGCTAGCAAAACTTCTTTACAATTCAAGTATTATTGAAACACCTGAAAGTGTCATAAAACAAGTAGATAGTATTGTATTTGATTTTTTATGGGATAAGAAAACAGAAAAGATTAAGAGATTAACTCTTATCAGTGAATATGATAACGGCGGTATAATTGCGCCAGATTTTAGATCCCAAGTCCAATCACTAAACATAGCTTGGGTTAAGCGTTTATTTAATGAGGAAATATCCAAATGAAAGTACTTGCCGTCAATGTATTTTAATAGATTTGCCCCGAGAACAGTATTTGATGATATGTCTCATATACACCACTACAAAGGAACATCCCACAAAGATATACCATGTTTCTATTCCTCAATAATTAATGCTTTAGTTAATTTCAATAAGTGCATAATAAAGCAACCAACATGCTATGAAGAAATATTAGAACAACCGATTTGGGGAAACAAGTTGATCTTGTATAATGGTTTGTCATTATTATACAGAAACTGGGTTAGATCCGGTATACGAAAAATGAAAGACATAGTGGTCGCCAACAGATTTATCAAATCAACCGAGTTATTTGATTTGTTAGATATAAAATCAAATTGGATATCAGAATTTGCAAGTGTACTGGAAGCAATTCCACAAAAATGAAAATGTATTATTTTTTCACAAAAAGAAAACATAAAGGAAAAAAAGGTAAAAACAAAAAACAATTGGTGCAATATGAAAAGTACGCAAATATACAAGTGTTTTATTACAAACAAATGCTTAGAACTTACAAAGTGCCAAACCAAATGTCAAAATTATTTTAATACTGAAATAAATTGGTTATTAACCTGGACATGGAGGGTAAAAAATATTAGGGAAAACAAGCTTAGACAAATCAATTCTAAATTATTACACAATATTGTTCCTACTAGGAAAAGGCTGTGTACATTTGTAAACAATGTAATGTTATTGAAGATGATGCGCATCTTTTTTATGATTGTACAGAAGCAAACGATCTATGGAATTTTATAAATAATATTAGTCTATCAAAATATGGCATTGAAGCAAATTTTAAAAATATTGTCCTCGGAACAGGAAACGTATATGTTGACCATTTATTTTCAATAGCTCTATTCAGTATATATAAAGCTAATGTCTTAAAACATCTAAATAAATGGAATTATAGTTCAATCCATCAGCTTTTTATCATAGATAGCTTTAATTAAGAATAGCTGGTGTTATTGTTATGCTTTACTATTATTTAATCTGATATGATTCATATGGCAATACATATGTGATTTTGAATGGGTACTGTAATGTACGTGTATCAATCGAGGTCATATGATGAATTAGAAATGTGATGAATACAGTTGGGAAGACCCCACAAAAGAAAAAAAACCAAACTTTTATTTCAACACTAGGCAATTTTTCCTTATTTAAAAAGTGAGATTAAGCTAACAGTTTTTATTTACTTGGCCCAAGCATGCACTTACAGAGTGGAAACATGCATTCTTGGATGTTAACTATGTACATTTTTATTTATAGGTTAAAAAAATCATAAAGGAAATATAAAGACTGAATCCCTTATATTTTGCATATTGCTATGCTCATTCACTAGAGTGATAATTTTACAAGTTATTCAAATATGAGATTTGAATGTTTTATCTGCAACTTGGTAATAGAAGGAAGAATTTCAAAACTATTAAGCCATTTTCACTGTGCTCATGCATTATATGATGGGAAGGGATTGGTATTCAGATGTGGTCAAGGTGGTTGCCCATCTACATTCAATTCATTTAATTCGTTTCGAAAACATGTCAATCGAAAGCATTCTATGCAAGACCATGTGCCAATGGAATTTAATGACCATGAAAATGATGTGGACATTAATGATGAAAATGTAGAACAACTTAATAATTCCGATGAAGATGACTCTGATCCTTAAGATAAAATTCTTTTTCAAGAAAAAAAAAAAAAAAAAAAAACAAGCTGCAATGTTTATCAGCAACATGTTATCACATCCAAACATTACTCACACCTCTATGAAGCTTATAATCGAAGAAGTGTCTTATTTGATGGAAATAATTGTGGAGAAATTAAAATTCAGAACTAAAAATATTCTAAAAGAGTTTGACATAAATACTAATTCTAAGGAATTTACTGAATTGTTTGACAATTTCGTTGCAGCAACACAGCCTTTTGCTGGTCTTGAAAGTAGGTATAAACAGGATGTTATTGAACATTTAGTACTTGTTAAACCACAAACAATAGTTCTTGGCAATAGATACGATACCAAAACGGACCATGTTACAGGCATACCCAAGCAAGTAATTGTAAAAGATAAATTTCAGTATATCCCTATTAAGGATGTATTACGTTTAGTGCTCAGTGATTCAGTGATTCAACATGATATACAACACGGTCATTTTTCTACAGATGTTGTAATGAGAGATTACTGTGATGGCAGGCAATATAAGTTGCATCCCTTATACAGACGAAATAATGAAGCTTTGCAGTTGTGCCTTTATTTTGATGAATTTGAAGTAGTATAATCCATTGGGATCAAAAAGGGGCATTCACAAACTGGGAGGCCTGTACTATGCGCTGAAAAAAATATCACCACTGTTTAATTCTGCATTGAAAAACATCCACATTTTCCCCTTGTTTTACAACACTGACCTAAAAAATTCTCGCACCATTTCTCGAGAAGCTTGCTCAGTTGGAGTCCGATGAAGGAATGGAAATTGTCCTTAATGATGGTACAAATATTATTAAACGGGGAAGCCTTGCACAGGTTGTGGCTGATAACCTAGGTGCCAACAGTATTGGCGGGTTTGTAGAAAGCTTTGTTGCCAACTATCTCTGCAACACCTGTTTAACTTCTCGGACAGACTTCCAGAGATGCAATGTAGCTGATAATTGTCAGATGCGAAACAGAGAAAACTATGAGGAACATTTACAGCTGTTAACAGAAGACCCACAATCCGTACCACTGCACGGAATAAAATGTGCTTGCCCGTTAAACCAGTCTCGCTACTTTAACATTACAACTAAGCACTCCCCAGATATAATGCATGACATTCTAGAAGGATTAGGTAAAATGGAATGTAAGTTGGTATTGTCTCAGCTGATATTTCAGGATAAATTGTTTTCAATTGATATACTGAATGCCAGAATAACCAATTTCGATTATGGATTTGAAGATGTGAAAAACAAGCCATCCACTATCAATTGTGGCACCTTGCACATCACAGACAGTAATCTAAAGAACAGTGCATCTCAGATGTGGTGCCTGCTCCGTTTCTTGCCGTTGCTTATCGGAGATAAAGTACCACGAAACCATGCACATTGGCAGTTACTTTTAAAACTCCGTCAAATCATGGATATTGTTTTTGCAAGGGAAATAACAGAGGGCATGTGCCATTATTTAAAATATTTAATTAAAGATTACCACTTCTTATTTCAAAATTTGTTTCTAGATATCAATTTAATCCCTAAACATCATTTTATAATTCATTATCCGAATGCCTTAATGGAAGTTGGACCAATTATTAATTGTTGGAGCATGCGCTTTGAGGCGAAGCATTATTTTGGGAAATTAATTGCTGGAGTTGTGTGTAATTTTAAAGACATCTGTTATACTATTGCAGAGCGTCACCAAATTCAACAATGTCATGAATGGCATTCAACAAAAATGCAAGAGTACTTTGCAAAGAAATTTTCTGCTGTCAAAGTATTTGAAACAGAATGCAAGGATTTAATCCTTGAAAAATTCCCTGGTCTTTTTGAACAAGGTGAAATATATTTTACAGCAAAAGCTAGTATTTATGGTACTGAATACAGAGCAGGGATGATTGTTGTTACGGACATGTTTAACAACCTCCCTTTGTTTGGGGAAATACAATCTATATTTATTTTTGGAGATACTCCATACATTTTTGGTGAAATGTTGGATACACATCATTTTGATGAACATTATCACTCTTATGTATGTGCAAAACCACAAAGAGCAATACTTTTCTTTGTAAAACAGATTAACCTAAAGGACTTTCACCCTCTTTATGTCTGTAGTAGTTATGAGGAATCTCAAGATCGAACTAAGTACACACTTAAGAATGCCATCAACTAAAAGTAATGAGACACTATTTTCCTTGATGTTGGATTGGATTGGATTTATTCGGTGCAAACACCAAGGATAACCCACGAAAGTCTAGAAGAAGACTTATTTCCAGTGGGGTCCTTCTGGTGGTGATTGGGCAGTACACCGGGAGACAATCCCCTACGCTTTTCCAAAGACTGTACTGTGTTCTTTAACGTGCACATGGGCCATGATGCACACGGGACTAACGGCTTAATCGTCTCATCCGAAAGACGGTGCGCTATATTGTAACTTGTATTTCAGCCCTCCAGCTGAAACACAAGGAGAGGCAGCGATGGAAATTGAACCGGGGACCTAGAGATCTCCACGGTTCAGCGCACACACAGTGGCCACCACCAGATTAGCCGACTGAGCTAAACTGCTCTTCAATTGTTAATTGAAAAAATTGTTAATTGAAATTTTAACCATAAAGTTAATATTTGTTACTGCTATAGGTGAAGAGCGATGGAAGAAAAACGATTTTGTGTGTCATTTGGAAAAACCACTAAATTGATTAAAGTTCAGACGGTAACATATGATGAGATTAAGATGAAGGTTAAGAAAAAATTGAGATTGGAGGAACCGTTTCAAATATCTGTCAAACTAGATTAATTTGACCTGTATGTTGACGTTGATGAAACAGATGATGCTGAGCTTTTTGAGCAGTCGAAGCACATTCTGGTTTAAGTGTCATCAACAGTTGATGATTCCGCAAGAATTATGTACAGTTCCAGTGCAAGCCAATCATCTGAAGAACTTGAAGTAACCACAGCTTTTTCAGATAATCTTCAACAAGATGATAGTAGTAACGAATTGGTTAGTAATATATTAATTCCTATATTTTAAAGAATGCATAAACTGTGATTTCTACACTTATTAATAATGAATTTAATACATGCTCAAATTTTTATTATTTTTATTGTTGAATGGAAATGTGCATGCTAATTTTTTTTTTAGGAATTCTTACTACTAAATTATTTCAGTGACTACCTGTAGTTTAGATGAGTGCTGGGTATCTATCTGTAACATTTATCTTGAATAATTTTCTGATATTAACAAACATTCATTTAATTTTTGGACTGGAGGGATAAATATGAAAATGAAATGGTCTTGATAATTACTGATTACTCTCTTACAGTGCTTTGATATACAGGCAATTTTGGATGAACATCCGCAAGGTCTAAGAATAACTGACCAGTATACAAAAATGGCATTTTAACCCCAGAAACTAGAATGTTACTAGTAAATATTATCACTGCAAAATTGGTACAGAAATTTAGTTAGTATGTATAACTGTACTATATTATTGTTATTATTGTTATTATTATTATTACAAATATATGAATTTGCGTCAGGAAAATGTCATAGGTGTGATGTTCTGCCCTACCTCACGTGTTGTCGTACCGAATACTCAGTACCTCCCCAAATACTTGCGAAAAAAATCGCAAGTGATTCGGGTGGAAATCGAACCCACGACCTCCAGGTAACTAGCCTGATGTCTTAACCACTAGACCACCGAGCATACGCTTGGTTGCTAGTGATGAATCCGATCCTCTATTAGCAGCGGGTACTGCAGGTGCTATAGATATATGAATTTGCGTCAGGAAATGGGGGATGTGATTCATCACTAGCAACCAAGCGCAAGCTCGGTGGTCTAGGCATCAGGCTAGTTACCTGGAGGTCGTGGGTTCGATTCCGAATCACTTTTTCGCAAGTATTTGGGGACGTACCGAGTATTCGGTCCGACAACCCGTCAGGTAGGGCAAAACAAAAGCGATAGTCCAAGCATTTCCAAATTTAAAGAAAAACTTAAGCAAAATTGGATATGTAAGTACATAACTTGCATATTAATTTTAATATTCTGACAAAGTATTTCTTGTACATGATTTTTGAATTGTTTAAGTGAACATAAGTTATTGTCCTCCTGAATTTTCTATGATGAAAATGTGCCTTTTTAATTTATTACTGCTTTGATAGTCTGTAATTTTTATGTTTTACATAATGAATATTGAATTTAAAAAAAAAAAAAAAACAATAAAAAATCCTTTTTGGAACTGTCAGCGTTTGGTATATGTGTCACATAATCTGATTATGGGATTATGATTAAGATCACTACTACATTTGTCACTACTGGAACATTTATACAGTACGTACACAAATTAACTTTTTCTATGATAACTTTTTTCCAGGAAAATTTCTTTAATGCACAGGGTGGTCAGACTGGTTATATTCAAGATAAACTTAAGAACATGAGAAGCCATCTTCCTTCATCGGTTCTGAAGAAACAGGACACCCAAATCTGAAAAAGCCTAGTCTGCAGATGAGAAAAGTTACAGTGATGTCACTGTAACCAAAAAAATGAAAAGTGCTGCTGAATGTGTTCCTGAAGAGGAAGCAGAGGAGTTAATTTCATTCTGCCGTAGGTCTTCTTCTAAAGATGAAATAATCACAGCAATGGAGAATCTATTTCCGAACAGGCAAAATTGGTTAAGTGAGAAGAGCCCCTGCATTAATGAGGTGTTAGAAAAATATCCAAGATTCCAGGACATCCCAATTTAAGTAAGTTTAATTTAAAAAAATATATAATTTGATCAATTTTTTAACATGCAATACTTATGATTTAGTCTATAAATGTTAACATATTGTTGATTTCACTTATTACTTGCATGCGAATTGACGGTGATAGTGCTCTAAATCTCATGAAACGACGACTGCTCTTACCGCAGTAAATTTCTGCACTGAATGGCTAACACGGTATTGCGTGGCAGCTGAAAAGTGTACCAAAAAGCAGGCGTTTACTGAATGCCAACACTATAACAAATCAGTTTTTGAGAATGTATTTTTAACTGTGATTATTTTTAAAATAAAGATCGACCAGGAATTTAAAATGCTTTATGGTGAGATTCAGAGTAATGTATAACTATAAACATGAATTTTGATCATTAAATCAGACTGTATACCAAGTATTGCACATTTAATTGCTAGCACAAAAGACTGAAACATTTATTACTTAAGCTATCCTATTAATTTAAAAAAAATGTGTACTCTCGGTAACAATTTTCTGAGCTTGCTTGTGCCATACGTGATGCAAGCTTAGGCGGTCATGTCTTTTCGAAGCTGAAAACCGTACACTAGGTTCTGTATAAGGGAATGTGTAGAATTACAACACTTTTAATTAATTAACAAAATAATGCAAAATAGTGTATGTACACAATTTATACAATTATTTGCCTAAAACTTTTTTTCCAGATATTTTATGACTATAATAGTACATTGAAAAAACTTTTTTTTAATTACAATCCACTGACACATGATTGAACTATGTTACTGTAAATTTATACAATTGTTTTTAAAGTGTACTCTACAAGAGTCTGATCATTTTTTTTAAATCATTAATGAAGTTATATATAATACTTTTTTCTACCGTATCATTTATATTGTTTAGTGTTTTTTTTTTGCAGACAAGAAATCGATGTATGCTTTTCACATACTGATAAACATGCTTCCCAGTACTGGAAAACACAAGTGCACATCCACAGATCTGAGCAAGTTGTTCATTGATTTTAAGGCAGTAAGTTCATTTGATTTTTGTCTGCGATGAGCAGCTTATATGGTACCTCTGAAACTCAGACCATCCGTCCATCCTTGCCTTATATATGAGCTGGTGGAGTATATGACCAGCAACCTTGGGTAACGCAGTTTTGAATAGCGTGATATCAGAAAGCAGCTTCAACATCATATGATTTCTATTGGTTCTTACAAGTGATCATCACTGTTGGCGTGCACGTGATTAGTCATTGCATGCAAAAGAGCTGATTATTTTTTATGTTATATAAAATTACTTAACTCCATAACAGGGTGTAGTATTGGAATTGTTTTTTCTGCAATGCCTTAAAATATTTCTGTGGATCACTACATTTTTACCAAGTTAAAAACATTTTTTTTACTAGAAAAGGGGATCTATAGACCTATTTACAGTGCCACATTTTCAGTTTTTAAAAAACCTAAAAATAACACAATCATTACAGCATAGAGATCTCATGACTGGCATTATTTTTACCTACACTGATCATACTCTGTGGTTTTTTTTTCAGGTTGGTACAAGCATTGACCTGTATCTTCAGACCAAGGGAAGGATCCAAAGACAGCCATTTATGCTGTGCTTGGGGACGATGGATGATCCGCAGCAATTTTTATTTTAGATTCCCATGCAATTCCTTGCGCAAATAACATAACTGCTGCCGATCGCCTTTTTAAACTTCATTATGTGCTTAATTTGCACTAAGCAAAACCTCTTGAGCTTTTTTACATCTTTTTGGAGAGTTATGTTTATAATTAACCTGCCAGGAAGAAAGGTTCCACGTAAAGTGGTTGAGCTTGTTTCTAATTTATCTCCAAATTAATATACACTAGACTTGCCAAAAATCACTATTATTTTACAGGCTGTAAATATATCTGGCTTGAACAATAGGGACTTGTAACTTAGTTAAAACGATTTGTAAAGCCATGAGAATGATGTAGTTTAGTTTATGAAACACATTACTGTAATAACATAGATGGAATGTGTTTAATATAATGCACTAATTAAGAAAAGTGGTGTGCATTTTTCTGAATAATTTTTTAACCATTTTGAAACTAAAATTAAAAATATTAAAGCATCGGTTTGAGAAGTTTTTTTATTTGTACACTTAAGTTGGAAAACAGTTAAATCAGCAAGATTATTGTATATAATCTTAGAATTATAAGAGATGCTTTACAGTGCCAAATAAAAGTTTTTTACTTTAGTTATCTCGTATCTTGTTTTAACTTTTTGTGAGCATTGGTTGATTTGTAACACTTTATTTACATTACAACACTTCAATGATGCTAATTACAATCTTATAAAGTGTAAAATTAGCACTATTAAGTGTTAGATCTGTAACACTTGATTTAACATTAAAACACTTTAAATATTAATAAAACTCCTACAAAGTGTGAAATAAGCACTACTAAGCGTTACAGCTGTAACGCTTAATTTAAATTACAACACTTTAAATGTTATTTTGAATCTTGATAAGTGTCATTTTGACACCTGGAGGTGTAAAATATCCAACACTTTTGGAAGTGGATTTTTCACACTTTGTGAAGTGTTCCGATTTTTCACACTTTGTGAAGTGTTCCAACAACACCTACGGTGCTGTCCATGTGGACACACTGGGTAAGTGTTATATGTAACACTTATAGTGTTATTTTCAACACTTCATCTTTAAGAGTGTGAACGCGCTAACCGCAGAAAACTCGAAATTCGTAGCTGCTATTGGCCTTCAGCGCGTGACGTCATTCATAGAGTGGGTAAAAAAAGTTCTGAATACAAAATTGTAAAGAAAAAATGATCAATGGTTATTTAAGCAATCAGCATGGGACTTACATGGCAAGAAAGCTTAATCTATGAGCTACAATTGACCGTTCATCCCGAAGTTTAGCGACCGGTCGTTGCAGAGTTATGGTAAAAAGAAGCAGAAAGTATACCAAAAAACACTATAATTTTAAACCTTTTTCCTATGCAAAAGCATAAGGGGCAGTCAACTTTGAAAGAAAAATGATCACTCAATTTTGCATTAATTGTAAGAATATATAGATGAATATAAAGCTTAAAACATCTAGTTTTATAATCTGATCGCCCCAGATTGCCAAATGAAACCATTCAAATTATATACTTTAGTCGATTTTGTGAAAAAGGGGGTCCCGTTTTGACTTATTTACTGTGTTAAGGTGTGCAGTGAACCGTTCAGTGAGCAGATGTCTCCAAGTTTCATTATGTTGAAACAGTGTTGTATTGAGAAAATGCTTTAAATGTATCTAATTTGTGGATATTTCAGGGGAGTGAAAGCCATAGTAAAAATATGTAACACTTTTACGTTTTTCTAAAATTTCTATTTTTCGTTGGGGAGGGTGTGTTAACTATTCGAAATCGCTAAACAAGGTACAGTATAACATTTCTCGCCTAAAAGTCTGTGATCCCTAGGGCCTACTAACTCTAGGCCTACTCTTATTAGGCCTTACTATGCAAACGACCTCGTTTGTACTGATCATAGTAGGCCCTACAACAGTTTTTTCTAGGCCTATTGGTAGCAGTGGGTATTACAGTTATATGATCAGCTGTGACTATGGTAGCCTACTAAAAGTTGTTCCCAATTCTGTAATCTGTTACAAAGATCAGGCTTACTCGGCGCGTTGCACTTGCATGGATTGTTTGGTTGGCGTCTATCGCATTGCTCTGACGAGTGTGCGAGATGCCCTGCGATTGTCAAACAACGGTGTGATTATGTCATCTTATCATTAGCCAATCAGAGCACTTTATATGTCTTCCTATGCTTGGCTCTTCACGAAAAAAAAAAATCGCTTCCCGACAAAATTTCAGTTGTTATGAAGAATCTGATTTTTATATTTTATAAAAGATTTAAAAATGTAATACAAAATTGCTAATTTAACTGAATTTAGACATTCAAAAAACATGAAAAAAATGTAAAATAAAAATGAAATTCATTTTTTTTTTTGTGTTCCACACAAAAATTGAATGCGGATGGATTTTTAATATTTGATTTTGCGATAGGTCTGCGAAGAAACATAGTAGTAGTAGTAGACGCCGAAAACATTAGCCTATCCAACACTGCTAGACTAGGCCTAGCCTTACCTCGATCTAGGTTCTGTTTTCACACATAAAAACGGCCGACATTGTATTTTCCGTTGCTAGTATTGACACTTGTGAAATATAATATTTCATAGGAATTATTTCAAATCTGTTAAAAAAATGATTCTGACCTATATTTTGACAATTAAACAAACACATCTCAGGCCTACTCGATCGATCGCAATGTTATGTGCGAGATGCAAAGTACTAAAACCACTTTCATTAGAGAGGGCGCACTTTATTGACTGTATAAAGTATACATAAAAGCGAGAGCATTCCAGCAGATGCGATCTATAACCTCTGAATTTGCCTAGTAACGAAGAATTCGTCGAGAAAATGGTAATCTCCTATTCTTTTGCGTAAAACTAAAATTATGCCAATATTTTTTCATTGTTTATAATAAATAGAGTAGTAATGCATATCCATTTTTTTCTATAAAAAAATTTCTTGTTTAGTGAAATTTTGCCGGGAATGGTGATTTAACGTAGCCTACGCCCGGCGTATTTCTCAGGTCTGAACGTAGCCTTACAAGCTCGGTTTTTGGGGCCATTAGGTTACTTTTTTGTTCTATTCGGTCGAGCTTAGTTTGAACGTGGTGCGTTTTCATGCGGGCGTGCATTCAGGTGTTCGAATCGATAGTTAGCGACGTTTGATTTTTGTAAAACGTATCGCAATCTTTGTTTGAGGTGGCCATGTTTATGAAGTTCACCGACCCACCAATTTTATATTTAGTTATATGTCAGGTAGGCGGTTTTTTGGTCGCCAAACTTGCTTTATAACGCATTTGTTCCAATTTTAGGGTTATTCCGCACAGTGTTACATATTTTAAGGAGTGGCGCCAGGATTTGCCCGACGGGGCGGGGGGGGGGGCGAGGTCCCCGACGGGAGAGGGCGGTTCCCCCGATGAGGTGTCAGATTTCCCCGACGAAAGCAAAGTGGGCGTGGTCGAGATTTGATTAAAAGGTTCGGAAAGTGGTCCTGGGGGCGAAGCTTCCGAAAATTTCGACAACTTAGGGGTTTCAAAGGCTTATTTAATCGATTTTAG